TGTTCTGGCGTACTTATTCCGGTGAGTCCACACCGAAGGGAAGCACTGGACTCGAGTTACGCTCCTATTAGAGCTCATCAGCAGTGAATATCCAATGGCCGTGCCGGGATTTGAACTCTGGACATCTGACATGCGAGACGAGAGCGTAACCACTACTCCACCAGCGCAATTTGGGAGCATCTGAATTTTCACGCCTGAACAGGCAAACGTGTTCACACTTGAGCGATGCGACTGTTGTGCTTGACTCATCGGACGACGACCTGGTAACTGTCCTGGTTGTGACGATCGATTCAGGATTCCCACTCAGGTAGCGTGACACACGCTTGAAAACCACTGGGCGACTTTCTGGTTGCGTTTTGGGGGGTTTGCAGGATAGGTATTTAGTTTAGGTAATAAGAGCGAAACTCGAGTTCATTGCTTCCCTTCGGTGTGAACTCACTGGAATAATTACGCCAGAAACAGGAGGACGACCGTTCAAACGAGAGTGGTGTGACTATGAACTATCTGCTAGTTTAACTCACAAGTCTAACGAGGAGGTGGGGGACAAACCCAAGAAAAATAGCATAAACGAAAGACTTTTGACCCATGCGTGCTGCATGTGGATGATTCTAGTTTTGGATTTCGGTACTACACTTGCGGCCAATATCAAACCTGTTAACAGCAGGTTGATGAGTCTTTGTGTCAGGCCACAAAAGGAAACAGACCCCTTTTTATGGATCACCGTGAAGAATTCAAATATCTGCAAATAAGGTAAAAATTTAATTTGTGCTCAACAAAAGGAAAAATGTTTGAATCACCATATTGTTCGACTGAAAAGTTTACTCTAAATTAAACAATTTGAAATCTTTTTGTCGACACGGTTTTCCACAAGATTCCTCAGCCTATAGTCTAAATTCAGGGAATATGGTGTACCACAGTTTTAGTGGGAGCAAGTGCGTAAACTGTCACCGAAGATGAACAGAAAATGGTAAATTTTGAACGTGGTCCCTGTTTTCTAGAACCACGCTTGGTTAAAGAAAAGAAGGTTCAACAAAAGTAACTTTGTTTGATAACAAATCAGGTCGAATCTCCGGTTGCAACTTGTAATGTTTTAGCTCGACCCACCTTTCAATTCCTTTACGTCAAAGTGCTTTAGCATTCCAAAGGAATGCGCATTTTTATTGTACCAATTGGGAGAGTCTGAGCCTCTCCACTAAATGATGAAGCAATTTAATTTTATTTTGTGGTGGTGGGCCATCCATTTCCAATGGATCAAAGTTGTCTCTTTGATAAATGTGCGGAATTGGTTTTTGCATGCACAAAGAAACCGGACTCTTTTTGTGATTCAAGGGAGACCTTTAATTCCCGTCAGTTTCCAAGTTGCAACCCCAGTATGGGCTTTTATTGTGACATGAAGCTCCATACCTCTGAGACCTATTAGATTTGCGTTGTCTCCTCAGAACCATGGTAATATTATCTTCAATGACCAGAAGACATAAAAAACTCGTTCATATTTTTAGCATTCGGTGATATCCCAGTTCGGAGTTTACCTTGAAATCCTGCGACCGCAATCATCCCGTGTTGTAGCATTGTTGTGGTGTATGTTAACAAACGCCATCGCAATTTAGGTTGGGGATATTATTATCTATCATTTGCTACTAGATCGGCTGCATTTTCGAATTCAGTCATGTTAGCGCCAATGGAACACCTACATCCCCGAAAGCATGCTGGGGACATTTGTACGCAGGCACACAAATGCGGATACCTACTGCTGTTTGTGTATTTGTCAGTAACGAAACAAATCTATTTAGCGCTACTCCCGGCGTCTTCATAATTTCTTCTTCACTGATAACAGGTCTTAAAATATTTGATGGGTCCTCAGTTACTCGAAAGGTTTTTGGAAATCATATAAAGCTGAGAGGTAACCGGGAATAGTAAACATCCACTTTATCTGGACGGCGTGTAAACCTGACCTATAATATTCGCGGGAAAATGATGGTGGAATTATGTACACTGTTATTTAACCCCTTGTAACATGCCTTATTACTGCGTGATTCCACAGTGGAAAAATCATCAGCTGAAAGTGCATGCAAATGTGTATGCAAATGTCTGACGAACGTCAGGATCCGCGTATTCTGTCACACCGTCACTAGCCGCACACACATATATGTGTTATCCTGAAATCTTTTCTCCATCTGCTACCCGATACCTCATAATGATAACTTACAACCTACGGTAATAGACCCCTGAGATGTCTTAGTCTCAAACCCAAACAGAATTTATTTTTGAGACTGGAGAGACTGCTGGAGGTGACTGGTCTACAAATAGAAGCTCAACTTTTGTCAACCTATATATGAGGGTTAATTTGTGCGAAGGCGATTTAGCCCATATAAGTGCAGTGGGTAAGCTTATCACAACACCTTCGGTTTTTCAACAAGAACAGAATGTGAAGCAATCTTCTGGTCAGGCAAAGTCAGTACCATACAGAAGGTCAACTGAGAAAAAAACAGTCCTAAGTGTTGATTAGTCATCACTAATTCAATTTTGGAGAATGCGCTGCAGACACTAGTTAGTGGATGTGCCAATGAAGGGGGCGGTTAGATCAAAACTAACGGCTATCATATACAGAGTAGCAATTTGAGGGATACAAACATAGCCAAAGGAGTCATTTAGCTGATGCGTTAGCTGTTGATATCACTTCTAGTTTGTAGGAGTAAAGCCCATTGTCAGTCGCATGAGTGTCGGGTTAGTGTACGTTTTCAGACTTCAAACCATCCATTATCCGTCGATGCGGGAGAGGGTCGCACCCAGCATAGATTTGGGTCCCTGTAATTCCAGTCCACTCGGCTACTGGTATCTGATCAGCACCATGGTTAGCTCGCAGACTTCCTTCAGCCACCGGGTTCACGTCACACACAGTACATACAACGGCCATTCCTCAGCCGAGAGTCCACACAATCTGTGGATTAGTCATACTTTCAAACTGCTTGGAAATTGTTTACGTTAGGAAGTGAATTGTAAGTGTTTAACCAAGCTCCCGACCTGTAAATGAAATCGGTGCATACCGAAAAAATACTCTACAAATGTTTCCTACTGCTATCAACCACACTGCTGGTCAAACTATGTAGTCTTTTGCTACTAGCCGGATGGTCGTCAGTTCATATCTCTGGAGTTTTGTGGCATGCGCACTGCTAATCATCCCCAGCAAGAACGAAAGTGCTGGCAGTACCCCTAGGCTTTTTAGTGCAAACTGACCTTGCTTGAAAGGTTAAAGTTTAGTCGAGACGTTTGGGATACTGGTCTATTTTTATTGTTTTTTCTCAAAAATAGCCCACATAGTTACTTCTTATGGGGCAAATTTAATGTGTGCTGGAGGGTGAACCTCGAAACAATCGTGTCCGATAAAGACTGTGGTATTTTCCTCGTCTGCGCTAGCGATATGGATTGATTTTTCTTACTTTAATGACTTAAGCACAGCTTTCATTTTGTTATGAGCGTCCATCACAAAATTTCTTTCGTGCACACATGTATTCCAAAGTGATTCTGCACAAGTGCACTCTCCGTCAAAGCAACGTGTTTGCAACATTTACTAAACTTTGGCAGTCTCCAGCAGGTTAGCGTGATCTTTTAATAGAAACACCGTTACCTGAACACCTCGTAGTTGATCCAACTGGTTTGTAGAGCTCTTAAAGTGATTTTTCGTGATAAGCAGAGCTAAAAATAGCTAAACTGCATGTTCAATGCGGAGTGCATGTTTATCAAGCATTCCAAAGACATCCGAACAACTCATAGTCCAGACGGCCTAACCACAGTCACGAAATCTAACTCGCTTGACACGAACACCGATGTAAATGTGCAGGGAACGAAATCCCACAACTCAAGCTGACGGAACTGTGTTGATTATCCGAATCGGCCAATTCAGTTCTTGTTGTACAACCTCACAATCATCCACACACCCAGATTTGGGGAAACACGATAGGTGGCTCTATAAATAGGTGATGGATGGATCTATAGATGGATGGGTAGATAAACGAATAGATGGATAAATAGATGACTAGTTTTATTGGCTAAAACTACGCAAACAGCAACAAAAAGAAATTTTAAAACGCCTGGGAAATACGCTTGTCATAAAAGTTTCGGGTATATGATGAATGAGACATTTCCCAATCTAAGGTACAAACTGGTCTGTGACAAATAGGATCCCAGATTTCCAGAGAGTACTAAATCCCTATTTGTCGTGCCATCAGGTTTGTTAATCGCAAAGCTCACTAGTAGGCGGTTTTGCATGTTGTGTACACGCAAAACGTTCAAAGGTTGCAGGCACGGTAGCAATACCTAGGACCGGATTAATTTGAGGTGACAAAAGTCCCTTGTAAAACATCTGTTTTTTATTCATATTTGGAACATGGTTTTAACATGTGACGTCTAATTACGGGCGGTTTTTACATCCCATTTTTAGTTTTCAAAACTGGTTCACGGAGTTCAATAGTGGTAAAAGTTTTGATAAAAATTAGAGTTTACTGTGAAATCTCAGCAGAGAATGGATGCATTTTTCACGCCTTTGGGATTTTATTTTCAAACAGAACCTTGCCTTTCCGTGGGAAGATAAATAGGCTCAACAGGGAAACAGTGTTAACGGTGACCTCATACATATTCTTTTCGAGTCGCAGGTATATTTTGGCATGCGCGCGTATCTATAGGATAAAGACAATTGCACTAAGTGTCATTACGGAAGTTAATTGAATCTGTTTCACTAGAGCATGTTTCTTCACCGTGAGATTCAAATTAGTCGCTCGTAAATTTGGAGGCGACAGAATGCGTTGGCGTCGAGTTTACAGTCCACACATGGTGAGCATCGCTGCACGTGGGCGACCAATCAGAGGGCAAACTTTGGGCCACGGACCAAAAATACCCGAATTAACGAGAGGATAACATGCATTTTCTATGCTGATTTTGCTTAGGACAGCTATTTTTACCTGATTCATTGCAAGTGGCAAACGTGTTTTTCGTTTTCACTGGAGATCACAGTCACCCACCATAATTAACCTATTTTCGCAGATGGAATCGAAAGAGATGTGTTGGTAACAAAACAGAATGGAAGAGATCTCAAACAAACTGTCTCCAATATTCAATAAGCTACTTGGGAGTCAAGTAATCGATCGCGTATTGGGCAAAGATGGAACAGAGGGCTCAGATGTGGTAGGACAACAATCTACACCAACTAGCGGAGCATCTTCAAATTCCTCGTGTACGCTGGAACAAATCAAATCTGGACCACTTGCCGGACAATGTTGGGACATGACTGTACGACATTCCTCTAGCAGATACTGTAAGTTCCTTGACACCATGGTTTCATTATTTTCAAGGCACTGTTGCGATGACATATTTATTTCCTACTACGCAACGCAACGAAAAAAATCCTTGTGGCAATATTTAAAATGTGGGGTAAAACAGAGACTGGCAAATGGTCCTCGTCTTTTTACGCGAAGGCCGACTAAACTTTATATATATATATATATATATATATATATATATA